GCCAAGCTAGTTACTTACGAGGGCTTATATTAGCTTTTTTTCATATGGGAGTCTTTGATAGCAGGGTTGAGACTTCTGATCACCATGCCCAAGCCTCGGTCAGCCGGAGAGACTTCTGTCATCATTCCTTGAGCTTCTTTGGCAGATCTGAAATCTCTAATATTGGGGCCTTCACCATCACCTATACCGTTTTGAGGGGTCCTTATTGCAGTTTGAGAATGATGGGCCCCAAAACCCTATTCTAATTGTTAAGGCCGCTAAGTTAAGGCAAGTTAAAGCCTCTATATTAACCCCAAACCCTAAACGCTTGGCACGGAAGAGGAGCTCTTGTACGTACGGTTGAGGGTGTAGCGTGAGGGCTTCCGGGACTAATGGGCGTACGTAGCAGACAACGGAGCGTGGTTTGGGTACACCCCCGAAAGTGTTTAGACAGTTTTCTGGGACATATCTGTGAGGAAGGAGCAACCAGTACAAAGAGATCTTCCATATCTTTACTACACCGCTAAACGCCCCTAGTCCCTAAGCCCCCAAAAAAAGCTTTCGCTGCCGGAGGCTCTTGGCATCCAGCAGCACGACTGCGATCTAGTTGTGTCTTCGGCGGAATAACCATAAGATTATTTATCATTATTCCTAGGGGGTTCCTTCTCACAGGTGCAGTAAGGCAAAGTGCCCGAAGACCCTACTTTAAGTATTGAGACCCCTGCATTACATTGTTTTGGTTTTGATGTGTTTTGATGCTCTGTAAGCTTCAAGGGGTAGCGGAGCTACCAAGCAACGGGTGGCATTCTTAGGAAGTGGATGATAATATCAAAGGTGCTTGAACAGAGCGACGTCGCGAGCTGCTATTTGGTGTGGGGGCTGCTACGGTGTCGCAGGACATCGTATGCTCTATATCATCGTCTTTATATCGATTAGAGGTGGTTTCTCAAAGGGGCTGGAGGGGCCCCAAAGCTGCCTACAAGCTTAGATGTTTACTTTGTGGTGGATCTTGCTTCGGACGGAAGTCTTGTATGCCCAGGGGTTCCACGGTGCCTTGCTCTGCCATCAGGTAAAATCGAACTCCCGGTTATGGAACCCTGAACGTTAACCTAAGCACCTGCATCCTACATCCCGAAGCCCCTTTGCCCCGGCACCCGGAAGCCTGAAACTCATGGAGTACTCGGAGGTTGAGGGGTAGTTATAAGTGGCCTGGTATGCGTTATAAGTATAGTTACCCGATGTATAACCCTACTTATAACTACCCATGAACCTCCAAGTATGAGGTGAAGCTCTCTGCATCGCTGCCCTCCTCGCAGGTGTTGCCGAATCGTGTCTGGAAGGGGGCACCGGTTTTGCCAGTTGGTCCTTCAGGTTTGGGTAATTAGGGTTTAGGGTTTTCGGGTTAGGGTTTAGGGTGTAGGATGCTGTACGGTCATCTTAGGGAGCTTCCATGCTTGGATGGTGCATGCGACTTGACTACTGCATGATCTGTGACTGCTGTTCCGAAACCCTAAACCTCAAACCCCAAAGCGTGGGTTGTGTGTTTTATGCGTCAAAGATCGCCCAGCATAGACTGCAGAGCCGAAAGTCATGTGCGGATCGTGTGAGCTGATCAGGAACAGGCCCAAGCCCATGACCACCTTGATGGGCACGAGGAAGCTCCTAAACGCTAAACCCCCAAACCCTGAATCTCAAGCAGACCCTAAACCCTAAACCCTAAACTTTGGCCCTAAACGCTAAACCCCAAACCCTGAATCTCAAGCAGTTCCGGGACCCATTTGCATGGCTCGGGGTTCGAAAGCCCAAACGCGAGCAAAGGCCTCCCTGACCTGCAGGCAGAGCAGGGGAAAGAGAGCGAGGTTTAGGGTTTCGAGGGTTTAGGGTTTAATGTGAGGGAGAGAGAGAGAGAGAGAGAGAGAGAGAGAGAGAGAGAGAGAGATTTCGGGATTGAGGGTTGCAGATAGATCGGGCTGGGGGTTTAGGCTTCCACCGAAGACCCTAAACCCTTAAAGCCCGAAGCCCGAAGCCCTCAGCCCCAAACCCCACACCCCCCTAAACCCGAAGCCGCGTCTGAAAGGAAGAGCTTCCAGCTGGTCCGGCCTGGCATCGCTCACTGCTCCAAGGGATCCCTCCTCTTTTTCGAGATGTGCCCCGGATTCGGAAGGGAGCCTCACCCCAAACCCCTAGTAGAGTTAGCGTATACGATACCCCCCAAGAGCCATATTCCATCCCCCCCCCCGAAACCTGCTAAGATTTCTCAGGGTTTCTTGTTACCGGAGTATACTATACCCCCAAACCCTATTCCTGTATTTATTAGTGTCCCTACATTCCGGCTCTCCCTGTCGTAGACCAACGCGTTTGAACGCCAAAACGCAAGTTTGGCTGGAAGCCTCCAAACCCTCTAAGCCCGAAGCCGTATCAGCCCTAAGCCCCAACAGAAACCATACTTGGAGGTTCAGGGGTAGTTATAAGTGGGGTCTTAAGTCCCCTAACATGGGTTGTAAGTATAGTTACCGTACTCGTAACCCTGCTTATAACTACCCCTGAACCTCCAAGTATCAGCCCTAAGCCCGAAGCTTTGCGCCGGAAGGAACTGAAGAAAGCATGATTTGCGTCGTCTTAGCCCCAAAAAGCCTTCAGGAATTTCCGAAACGAATCTGAATTCAGGATGCCAGTGAGTTCTTGTTTTGAAAGGGCTCCGAAGCTCAGTAGAACGAAGCTTCTAGAGATTCTAGATGCGGGATGAATCAGAAGCCTCGGCCCCGATCAACACCGAAAAGGCTAGGGCCGGGAGTCGTATTCAACACTCGAACCTATCAAAGGGCTCCAAGGGTGGGATGAAGGTAGGTGGGATATTCCCCAACGAGAGTCCTGATATGAGGGATCCAGAATCCTACATACTTTCATCCCACCCTGCGAGGCGTCCAAATCCAGCTCCTTTAGTCCTGTGAAACCTACAAAGATGTTCTACAAGCCTGAAAACCTGAAAAACCGATGTAAACCCAGGAAACCTCCGAGCGCCAACACCCCCGCCACACCTGAACCCTTGAAAGGAACCCTTTGTAGAGCCCCGTTAAAGGAAGAGAATCCGTCAAAAGGAGCCCTCAAAGAGATGCTGAGGAAGAGCAGGGCTCGTCGTGTGGACCACGCGGTGCTCCAGTTGCGCACGCGCCCCTTCGGCTGGGAGAAAGAAGAGAGGAGTTTAAGGTTTATAGGGTTTAGGGTTTAAGCGAGTTGTGTGATATGGGCTGAGTACTCAGTCTTAATACTATTCCTTCGGGTTCCGTAGTATAACATGCCACCAGACCCTACTCGAATATCTACTTCCCCGATCCTAGAGGAATTTTACGAGCCTTATACGGCTTTTGTAAGGCTTCTACCAGTCTTTTGAGGATTTAGGGCCAGTTGGGGTTTAGGGGTTCGGTTTGAGGGCCTGGGATTTAGGGCTTCAGGGCTCGGTGGGGTTTAGCAGGAGTCCAGGCTTCGACGGTTTGTGGCTTTGTGGTTTAGGGTTTAGGATTTAGGGTTTAGGATTTAGGGTTTAGGATTTAGGGTTTAGGGTTTAGGATTCAGGGTTTAGACGGTTTATGGCTTTAGGCTTGAGCCGCGAAGCCGAGAAGTAGCAGGCTTCAACCTCTGAACTTGTGGTAATGTAGGGGCTTGCATAGTTACCTATACTTTTTTGGGGGTTCCATATTCTAACTATAGTATAATGAGCCCCAAAACCTGTTCTAATTATTAAGGTCCCTCTGGTAGACGACTAATCCAAAGCTCTCTTCAGTGCCAGGTAAAAGTCACACGAAGTTTCAATTTACCCCTGGGGCCCCTCAGCGCTGTAGCCCCCCAAAAAGCAAACACCCATCAATCCGAAACCAACCCAAAAAATCAAACATCCCAAGCCCTGAACCCGAAACCAACCAATAAAGACAAAGCACACTAAACCCGAAACCTTAAAGCCCACTTTCCGATGATTTCATTCTCTGAAAGATTAGGTCAGGAGCTGCTCCGCGTCCGCCCAGCCACACCGTGCCAGGTGCTGCCCTTGCTTGAAAATCAAACGTAATAATCTTGGGGCATTCATGATTAGAATAGGGTTCCGTTAAAGGTTCCATAATAGGGGCGTTACGAACTCGAATAGGGTTTGGGGTATAATAGGGGCTTTAACAACTCGAATAGGGTTTGGGGCATATTATCCTTTAACGGCGTCTATAAGGGTTACTATAAGGGATCTAAGCAGGTATGTTGAACCCTGATGGCAGGGCATCAGTCGGGTCCTAGAGGTCTTGTGCTCTCTTTTGAAATATGCTTTGGAGATCAGAACAGGGACTTCGATATTCAGGTGTGATTGGGTCGATTCGATTCGGAAAGCCTTCGTAAAGAGCAGAAAGATGAGGCCCGAAGTTTTAGGATCCGTGCGGTTTCATGCGTGGTGCTGATCGGATTTTTTGTGAGCCTGTGAGGATCGTGGTTAAGGGCTTGGCGGGTTCGACGATGCGGGTTTATAATGTTTTGTAGTTGTCGGCGTTCTCGCTTACCGAAAGGTTTGTTTTTTACTAGAGTGCACGCTGGCGATCGTGTGTTTGTTTGCTCATGTTTGTGCTTTCGGTGCTCGATTTCAGTGGTTCCGGGTTGCAGCAATGTCCGACCTGATCGCGGTGGAAGTTCGACTTGTCAATGGCAAGGCAGGTCTTTTCGGCTACAGGTAACCCCTAAAAACCGTTGTATTGTATACTTCTGCTCTGCAGGTTTCTGACTAAGCTCGAATGCCGCTTGGAATATGCTCAAGTTCTTTGCGGAAAGGAAGTAGTTCTCCATGGTCCCCGAGTCCCTTCACCCGTCTGGACTCCTCCTTGCCGGCTGCCTCTTGATTAATAATTGGTTCAGCTCTGAGCGCACTGTGGTGGTGCCTACTGGCGAGCAACACTGCCATTGTGATTGTGAGTGCACCGCTGGATCACCTAGTCGGCTTCCTCTCGCTGGCTGTTTCTGCGTGGGATTGTTGACTGGACTCGCGATTTACCATGGAATCTTATATCGACAACACCGTGCTTCCTGCATTCGCCGTAGAGAACAAGTACCTCCTAGTCCAATATCAAGGGGAACGGAAGTGGCACGAGAGGTTCGTGATTCTGAGGCCGACGCCGAGCAGCGACCCCAGGTCCATTGGATGGTGCGTCGTCGCGACACCAGACGGTGATGTGTATGGCGAGCCTTTGGCTATTCCTAACGTGCGTGCCGTAGCAGTTCTTCCTGATGATCGGTCTCTGCCCCCTGGAGTGCTGCGACGTAATGTGTATCGCTTTGAGGATGGCAGCATTGGACAGGAACTTGGAGGACCGGAGATTGCCCATCTTCGCGGGCTTGCGCAGGCCGAGCTGGTTTCCCTGCAGAATGACATCGACCAGATTGGCATGGCTGTCGTGGCTGCTCCTGCAGCCGGGGGCGCCACCGCTGCGCAGGTTGCGAACACTGCTCCCGCGGCCGCTGGACCTGTCTTGGCGCCCACTGCCGGGTTTACCTGGGTGGTGGCGGCTTCGGAGGGTCACCGGGCTCGGGGCAGCCTTGTGCCGATTGCTCAAGTCGTAGGTGGCTACCAAGCTGGTACAAAGGGGGTCGTAGGCCTCAGTGACGGGGCCATCCTCTTTGTGGAGCTGATCGGCAACCACGAAATTGCTGGGTATGCGAAGCCCTTCACTCCCGAAGCCCTCGCCATTGCTCCTGCTGCAGCGACGCCGGGCGCCATTGCCATGAATCAGGCTGATGATGCGAGAACCTTGGCCGTTCGATATGGCACTGACGGCAAGCGGAGGCGGGAATTGAGAGAAGGGGTTGAGCTTGCCTCGGAGAGTGGTTGGAGTGACTGGCCCATAAAAGGGCCTCGCACGGCCAAGTGGGTCGGGCAGTACTTCGTGACCAACGGCGGGAGCCCCTTGGTGATGCATAACACGTGGAAGGTTAACTGCAAGTTGCAGGGATCGGACAACGGCGTGTTGGAGCACGAGAGCCTATGCAAGGCTCTCGAGCTCGCTTTGGAGTATGATCAGCTGAACATCGGCGAGCTGGCTTCGATTGAGTTGCTATGCCGCAGGTTGCAGATGATTCAGTACCGTTGGCGTGAACGCATCGTGGGGGCGGTTTCCAATGGCACGGTCGACGACGAGAGCCACTTCTTTCTCGGTGTCGACCCCACCCGCGGAAATCTCTGCATTTGCCCGGCTTTGAACACTTGGCTCGGCGAAGAGTTGCACAAGGAATCCCAGGCGAACAAGGAGCAGCGAAAGGCCCGTGAGGAAAGGGCCCTGCTCCGAGCCGCCAACAAGGGCAAGTAAGCAGCCGCCTTTCGGGGCGGTTGTGCCCACCGGTGACTTCCTAGCTCTGGTCACCGCGTGGTTTTTCCCTCTGGGCCTACCCTTTTTGTTTACTGCCTGCTTCTTGCAGGCTCAGTTTTGATTGCCGTGCCATGCCTGAGGTTGTGATACAACGTGATCTTCTGCCTTTACGCCTCCCTGAGGTTGCGGGTGGATTCGAACAGCCTAGGCTGGGTCGCGGCACGAGACAACGAATTCGCCGGAGAATGGAAGCTGACGCCTGGCCACACGAAGGTGTGCAGACTCTGAACGACTTGTACGGGAAACCCGAAGGGGTAAAAGGCCCAGCTCCAGATCTGGAGCAGCGGTACAGGCGCATGGGTACTCCAACTTCTCGTCCCGAGGAAGCCCTTACGGCGCTTCTCGGCTCAATGGCAGGGTATGGAACCCTGGATGTTGAGTGCACAACTCGTGCCAGTTTCGACGAGGCTCTTGTCTCATGGCCTGCCCTGGGGAGCCATCCTGTGAAGGTGGCGTCACTCCTGGGGGAGAATTCCAAAAAGTTGTTGACTCTGGAAGGCGCCTCAGAGCTTATTGCCGATGCGGAAGCTGTGGGCAACAGTGAGTGCGTGAAGCCATACATCGATCCAGTGTTAGCAAATTCTCCTGTACATATGGGCAACTGATCCCAGGTCGTCGTGAACACACTGTTGGTGTCTTTTTCGTTCTTAAGAAGAGTGGTAGATTACGGCTGATTTTGGACACTCGCAAGGCCAATACGTACTTTCGGAAACCCCGGGCCTCGCACCTGCCCACCCCAGCCGCTTGGACAAGCATCGAGGTTGCGCCTGACGATACCCTTTACACTGCTTGTGGTGATGTGGCCGACGCTTTTCATCGGATGGAGTTGCCTCCTCATCTGCGTCAGTATTTTCGCCTCCCTGCCATTAAGTGTCGGTTCTTGGATAAAGATATGTGGCCGCAAGGTTGTGGACCCGAGGACTTTGTGACGCCAGAGTACGCCACTTTGCCTATGGGCTGGAACTGGTCCTTGTACTTTTGTCAATCCCTTCTTGAATCGGCTGCGGCCCAGGCCGGACTTGCCGAAGAGGACCGGGTTGAGGACCGCACATGGACGGGGAAGGTGAGCGGGGATCGTATTGTGCACGCGCAGTATGTCGATAACTTCTTCTGCAGTGGTACAAGCGCTGAGAATGTGCAAGTGGCCTTTGATCGCTTGAAGGACACGCTGGAGGGCTGGGGTTTCGAGATACACGAGGTGAGCGAGGCACAGACTGTCGTCCAGGGCCTGGGCTTGGTTATCGACGGGGAGCAGAAATGTGTTTCCCTTTCGACGGCCAGGATCTGGAAGCTTCGTTTGGCCTCCCTCGCACTTTGCAATCGATGCAAGCCGCCAGAGCCCAAGGTCATAGAAAAGATTGTCGGCCACTTCACGTTTGCCATGATGATCCGGAGGGAGACGCTTTCTGTGTTCAGTGAAGTGTACCGGTATATGCGGTGCGAAAGGCCTTCCTCGCGGATGTGGGCAGCGGCTCGCAAAGAGATCAGACAGGCCTCCTCGCTGCTTCCATTGATGAGCACTCCCTTTGATCTCCCTTGGAGTACAACAGTGCTTGCGACTGACAGCAGCGAAGTTGGCTATGGTGTTTGTGCGCGGGAAGTTTGTAGCAAGCTCGTGACCGCCACTGCCAGGACCAGCGAAAAGTGGAGGTATGCAGTCGAAGGTGCTGTCAAGGCCCGCGCGAGTGCACTTGGACTTGATCCCGGGGGCTCGCACGAAGGTTTACTACATGACGAGTGTGCTCGAGTTGTGCAAGCTGAGTTCAAGGAGGTGTGTCCCTCGATTCTGGATCCTTCGAAGTGGCATGTGCTTTTTAAGGGCGCATGGACTTACAGGGAGAACATCCTCCGCACCGAGGGGCGTGCCATGCTCAGTGGAGTTCGGCATCTTCTGAGGACTCGCAGGTGCGCTGGGCAACGCTATTTGCTTCTAGTGGACAACCTTTCACTCGCCTTAGCCTGCTGTAAAGGGAGAGGTGGTTCTATGCTGGCGAACTCCACGTGCCGCCAGCTCGCTGCCCTCTCCTTGGCCGGCAACTGCAAATTTCATGTTCGTTGGATTCCCTCAGAAAGGAATTGCGCTGATAGACCGTCGCGACACCCTTGGCTAGATGCTCGAGCTGACCTAGCCTGTTCTAGCCACGAGCTTCATGGCTTGGGAGTCAAGGACCCTCCAGCTCACAGTGCCGGCCCACGCGCCTGCAAAACTGCGGGGAGAGAAGCGCCGCCTGACGGGCCCGCCCAATCAGGGCACGGCGGCTACTCTCGCGGGTGCTCCTTCCCACCTCGAGCTGCACAAGGTAAGGAGAACAGCCACACAAGATCGGTACAACACGACCGTGAACGCCTTCTTGCAGTGGTGCCTCGCCTACTTCCACTTGTCTCAGGACTGGGATCGTTTACTGACGGCGTACATCAACGAGCTCTTCGCCCAGGAGGCGGATGTAAGTGCCGCGGAGTACGTTTTCGCAAGCTTTCGTTACCGGTTTCCAGACTACGGAAAGCATGGCTCGAGAACACTACCCAGGACAATCCAAGCGCTGGAGGGCTTTCGCAACCTCGCGCCCCCAAAGATGAGACTGCCTACACCCCGTGTGGCCTTCGCAGCTGTGGTGGGGGTGTTCCTCGCCAGAAGCCTTGTCGAGATGGCGTTGGCTCTGCTACTTCAGTGGGATCTTCTTCTTCGTCCCGGGGAACTGGTGAGCCTGCGCCCTCAGCAGATTGTGAGGCCCGCGGATTTGGCAGCCATGCGCAGTTGGGGCGTCATTCTCGCCCCATCCGATGGAGGGTCAAGCGAGCCAAGCAAGACGAATGCATTCGACGAGAGCATTTTGCTGAGCCCGAAAATCAATCACCTTCTACCGAGTCTGGCAGCTCTTCTTCTGCGGCGGCAGCAAAGCCACTTCCTCTTCCCCTTCACGTGCAGTCAGCTAGCGGACGAGTTCAAGCGGGCCATGGAAGTCCTGTCGTTGCAGGGGCTCAACGCCACCCTGTACGGCAACCGTCATGGAGCAGCAAGTGGCCTTCGTTTGGAGGGCGTCCCGCTGGCGGAGATCAAACGAAGGGGGAGGTGGCTGGCGGACTCAAGCGTGAAGAGGTACGAGAAGGCCACAGCAAGTACACAAGATCCCCATTCCGGTCCAGATTTACGGGGCCTTTGTGGAACAAGAGCTGGTCCGCAGCGCTGGATTGTTGGAGCAAGCTCTGAAAGGACCTTCGCGCCCTGCAGTTCAGCAGCTGAGTCTCCGCTTCAAGCCGCTGCCAAGTGTGTAGTCTCTGCTGAGCAAGTGCGATCTCACCTACGGTCCAAGTTTCGCCTCGCTTGCAAGTCGGCTTTACAGCATCGCCGGCAAGTTTTTGTCGAAATCTTTGCAGGTCATGGTGTTCTCTCGCGATGCCTTCGAAAACAAGGATTTGGTGTAGTCACTCTCGACAGCCGTGCAGGGCCACTTGAGGATGTTCGTTTGCCAGCTGTACCCAGTACCCTCAAAGGCTGGATTGCAGGTGGCGCTGTGCTGGGCATCTGGCTCGGTACCCCCTGCACAACTTGGTCAGTGGCATGCTCTCGCCCTCAGGTGCGCACGTCGAAGCATGTATATGGTGTTCCTGGACTGACGGGAAAACAATTGCTGGCCGTTCAACGCGGAAACTACACTTTGGAGTTCTCGTTGCGCATTGTTCGAGCCTGCATTGCTGCTCAGGTCCCTTGCTTTCTCGAGAACCCTCACAGCAGCAGAATGTTCTCTGCCCCAGCCTTGGTGCGACTACGCCAGCTCGTTTGCTGTCAAGAGTTCGTCTCGGATTACTGCCAGTACGGGGCTCCTTGGCGAAAGTCAACTAAAGTCGTTGGTTGGTGGAGTTCTTCCGAAGCGCCTTGCAAAAGGTGCTCTGGTGTCAAGCTCTGCTCACGATCTGGCCGGCCTCACGTGCACCTTGCTGGCAGGTCACCTCAAGGCGTTTGCTGGACCAAAGTTGCTGAGGCTTACCCGCTGCCGTGGGCTCGCGAGTGGACGCAGGTGCTGACACTCAACAGCATCCATCGCCGCATTGCCGCTCTCTCTGGTTTCATCTAGTCTTTTCGGTTTCTTTTCGGTGTGTCTTCCTTTCCAGTACGTCATTCTGACAGACTTTGGGATCTCTTTTACAAACAGCTGTTAGCCGAAAGAGCTGACAGTTCGCGTGGCTGTGTGTGTTCAGCCCGGAGCTTCCGACAACAGGCCGCTGGCTGCATCTCTCATAAGAAAACAGAGTTTTTGCACTGGCAGCTGCGAAGTCATACTTCTGCTCTGCAGGTTTCTGACTAAGCTCGAATGCCGCTTGGAATATGCTCAAGTTCTTTGCGGACCCACCCTCCCGCCCTGTGAAGATGTTTTCCGGTGGGATCTCTTTTACAAACAGCTGTTAGCCGAAAGAGCTGACAGTTCGCGTGGCTGTGTGTGTTCAGCCCGGAGCTTCCGACAACAGGCCGCTGGCTGCATCTCTCATAAGAAAACAGAGTTTTTGCACTGGCAGCTGCGAAGTCATTATATTGCATTCAACTCCTGGCAGGTGCAGCTCTTCGCCATCCTGGCCCTGGTCCCCAGCGATGTTTCGGGCTACCAGTGCCCTGGCCGAAAGAGCCCTTCGGGGGGGGTTCTGGGTCCTGGAGCGGTGTGGGGTTAGGGGTTTAGGGGTTTGGGATTTAGGGGTTTAGGGTTTAGGGTTTAGGGGTAGGGGGCAAATAGTGTGATTTTGTTTAAGTCTTTGGGCGTTTCGGGTTTTGGGTCTTGCAGCGGGGATAGGCTTTGGGGTGGTGGTGACGCCTGATGCCAATGACCTCTAGGTTCGAGATCAGCGGCCGAAGACGTGATTGTTTGCGTTCTTTTTGGCAAGTGAAGCAGAGAAGCCGCTCTTGCAGGATGCTCCGGGATGCGGCCTGGAAGCATGGCGACGTCGAGATC